AATTTTGTATTGCCTGGCGCAGAGGGAAGTTTTTTGTCTTTTATTATCATCGTGGATTGTAGCTGCACTTTGGGCATTCCCATATAGCGCTTAGCATTGGCATTTTACCTCGCCTGAAATTGCTGAACTCTCCTTCTTCCCCCCTGCTCCCCCTCCTCCCCTTCCAAGCTTTGTTTCAAACCATTCAAGCCTTTTGTCTACTAATATATTAGCTGATACACTGTTCTGCTTGTCACGCGCGTGGTGGTTACGATCAGCCATTAACACAATGCGTATAATGAGCGATGCTCTTTGGATTTTTACAGCTCGGCAAGGCTATCCTGTAGTAGTGATTTTAAGTCAAAAATCTGAGAAGTGTTTGATATGTATATTTACTTTTTCTATTTGTTTATTAAGATGAGGGGATTGCTAAGGACTGTACTTACAAGATTTTAGCTTTCGTGCTTGTCTGATTTCCAAGTGTAAGCGATACCAACAATTTTGCAATCTGAAATTCAGCGAAGGCAGATTTTGCATTTTCGAGCGAGTTATTTCCCGATAAAGCTTCAGTCTTCTAGCTTTTCTAATTCCTGAATTAGAAATATTTTAACATTTCTGCTCTTTCGAAATTTGACATTTTTATACGCAAACTTACATCTGCTCCCGTAAACGCTAAACACGCAAGCGTATTTTGCGATTACAGGAGCACAAATGTACAATAAACATTCCCGTAAAAATGCAGGCTTTCGCTGAATTTGGTCCCGAGTTTGGGAGGATTCAGCAGTGTCTTAGATTGAAATTTCACTGCATCCACAAGACAATTTAAAATCCTAGAGCAGTCGTGAGCAGAAATATCTCCGGAAAATTTCAGCTGTACAGCTTAACTGGTTCCCAGATTTCGCTTCTCGCAAATTTTTGTCTTTAGCATCTCTAAGCATAGGCTGGTTTGAGAATTGGAATTTTTGTGGTCGCAGGAAGCATCCTCGTAAAGTTTCAGCCTTTTGTCGTTTCTAGTTCTTGAACAGAAAAATAAGGACAGACAGCTGGACACACTGGTAGTGTATGTCTTTACATTTATACAGTCCGAAGTAGCCGAATGGGCTGCAAGTCGGCCGGTGCCGTTGCATTTTTGTTGGTGGATAATGGCAAAGCCTCTTCTTCGTTTCGTGTTCTATTTTTTGCCCTGCAAGTGTTACCATTTGTTATTTTTTGTGTATTATTTGGAATATATATCCAGACTTTGATTTCTTGCGTGGGTCGTTGTGGGTTTTTTTTCGCTCTTCGAGCATTCACAATTTCAGAGTACACACACGCACACACATACAAGTTACACAGGAGTGGTAGATGCCAGTTGATCGTTCGCTGTTATTTTTAAATCAACCTTTTTGAAATTGATTATGTAAGTCAGTCATGTGCTGCAGTGCGTTGCCTACAGCTGCTGAAAGTTTCATTTATCATTTTTCGTCAAATTTGCTGCACTTCCGGTCGGTGTTGCCTCACGTCCTCTTCCTCGCACCAGCTGCTCGCCCTCTTCCCCTGTTGCTGCCGCTGCCCCCTGTGCTTTTTCACCGCCTTCTCCCTCGAACGCGCATATGCACTGCTCGGCTCCGTACACTCTCTCGTTGTCCAGTATTGCTGTGATTTATGCACTTCATTTGGTGTATTTTCCCGAGCCCTTTGACTTACTCCACCGCACCTCCATCTTGCAAGCAAGCACCCACTGCATATGGCTGTTGGCCAGACCAACTTGTCTTCCCTCAATTCAGGGAATACGAGGAGAAACACTCGTACTGCTCTGTTCGACACTCAGAAACTTGGCTTTCTAAGCTGAATGTGCTTTTGAGGCCCTCAAATTAAGTGAAACTCGCTGTCCCTGGTCTGCGATAAGCATCCATCCCCAAATTTGCTCCCTCACTAGGGCCAGCACTTATTCGGATTAAGGTGAATATCGCTGGTCTTACCCTTTCTGTGGCTATTTGTGGATCAGAACCTGAGCCCGATAAAAGCAGGTGGTCGGCATTTATCCGTTTAAACCTTCCGCTCTGGATGAGATCTCTCTGCACTCGTCACAGTGTTCATATTATCTTTAACTTCCGGGCTTCTGATCCGCAATTGTATATTTTGGCAACAGCTGACCCGCTCTGACGGCTTTCATCCACTTCTGATGACTTTTTCCTCTCCTTCCCTCTCTCTTTTATTTGTTATTCACAGGTTTTTTTGCGGAATGGCAGCCTTACGAGTAATCGGCCGGTTACATGGCTAGTGAAGTCTTTTCAGATTTTTGCATTTTTTTTTTTTGGAATTGGGTTCCGAAGCAATAAAATTGCAATGTGTGTGGGTGGGTGGGTGTGTGTAGGTATGGCTGTGTGTATTTATGCACGTTTGTATATGTATATTTATGTACTTATGTTTGTTTGTCTGTATTTATGTTTGTGGGTCAAGTCGATGGCAGATCGGTTTGATACTTTCCTAAAACTTTCACTCCTGCTATACGCATGATCTAGGCCGGTACTTTTTGCTCCGTGACGCGCGTTTGCTGTTCATCGGTATTTCAGTGTGCTGATGAGAAACACTTTCAGGGTGGGCTGTAACTGAAAACGAAACGCAAGAGAGGAAGTGCAGAGGAAGCTGAGAACCGCGGGGACGGCGGTTTTAGCCATCAGCTACTCGATCTCTTATTGAACAAGCTGATTCAACTGCCTGGACGAAGAAAGGAAGACAGGTCTCGCTTCGAGACTTACAGGTACTATTCCCTAGCACTGCTCCTCCAGCCCCAGTATTCATGGTTGTCTTCGCATGCTTGCTCTTTTCTGATCCATTTGAGCCGCTCCTTCTCTTTTTCCTTTCTAAATTACTCGACGTAGTAACGATTCGAGAACCAAAATGACTAGCATAACAGTCACTGAACATAAACTTCGCGGATCCCGAAAGCGATCAGGCAAAAAACGTGGTTACTAACAAGAATGTGCAGCTTCTTCCATTGGGGTTCTTGATTTACTCGACAGCCTCTTCGCATATGATCTCTAAATTTTATTTCTGTTAGTATAGCTGAACACAATTTGAGCGCAGTGGTGACGGATATTCTGGCACGCAGACAGTCTACAGAAGCCGAACTCGACGGCTCCTCTTCTGGATAAGGGTGGAATACACGAAGTGTACTGCACGTAACATTCTCTTTGCGGCATAGTTTTGGTTTTTATATGTTCGTTTTTGGTCATTTACCCGCATCGTAACTATTTTGCTTGTGTGGATGTTGAGCTGCTAGTTGCTTTTTCGATACGAGAAAGGAATGAGGGGGGTAGGGGGGGATGGCACTCAGCTCACCGTGTTTCAGTAGTGAAGAGGTTCATAATGCAGTCTCTGCTTGGCAAGTATTTGGTTTTCCAACCAGCAAGCTAAGTCAACCTCAGCTAGCAAGACACTCAGTCGCTTGACCATAAGCCATATTGTTCTCTATGAAATTTTTTCGTTATTTCTGCGGGCGGAGCACACTGCCATATACTCACGTAATTCCGATGTAATTAGGCCCCGAAGGGAAACAATCTCTTGAAGTTTTTGTCTTATTATTTTTCGTGAAGCCGGAGCGGATATTAGTGTCACAGTACGATGTTGACCGAGATCTCGCAAATCCACTGCGTTCGGGTTTTAGCTTGGAACCCAAAGATTAGGTGAGGAATTTTCTTACAGCATGCATGGTGTCCAGCTGCGTTACCCTTTTAGCTCCATTTTTATGCGTTTTGTGCTGTGTAACAGCAGTACAAAACGCATATTGTTACGGGGTTGTC